GGTTTCTCATTTTAAAGATGGATTGGATGTTTGAGGTGATTTACCCTAAGTCATATAACTTGTAAATGACATGAGTGGTAGAAATAAGGCACTTTTGTCTGAGAGAAGTATACAATGGCATTAAATGGAACTTGCTAGCCTTTTAGTAAGAGTACTCCAGAGCCTTTAATTGTAGTGACTGTTTTTGGCCCTGAGATACTATGATAAGTTATATCAAATTCCTTGAAAAATGATTAAAGTATTCTTGTATAGTTCACACTCTAACCTTGGAACTACATTTTTAAAAATGAGTAAAATGTGTGATATGGAGAACTGATATATAGGAGCCATGTTTTCACAATGTCTTGTTAATTATAGTAATTTGAAGCATCAGACTATATATTATATATAAATTTATATTGTCAAACATTATATACTGTGATTGTACACTTTTTAAATGTATACTTATGATGAAGACAAGTTTCCGTCTATAAATAGAATTTAATTTTCAGTATGGTCATTATTCTCAGTGTGGTTGATTTTACTCATGATGAAAATAACAGGACTCCAAATATATGTGAGTTAAAAAAGTTCCCCAGGACACTTATTATTAGATTGCTCATTTATATGTTATAATCAAAATTAGCTTCCCAGAATTTCAAGAAATTCATATTCAGGATTATGAACAAAGCTTATTAAGTGTTTGCTATGTCTTGATATATGACCTACTTTCTCCTTAAAATAGCACCGAAGGGAGATGTTGTTCCTGTTTTTTGTATGTGTTTATTCAACAAGCACTTGCTGAACTGCTGCGTGGTCTCTGGGAGTACCAAATACACTGAAGACTTGGAAGCTAAATCTTTCAAATTAGAAAGCAATCACTTTCGACCTGATTGGAGATGCAACGAGGTAGACACCAAAGATGGGGAGTCTCCTGGGTTGCCTGAGTGGATTCAGTTGCATCACCTGAGTCCTTAAAAAAGTAGAGAAGCGAGGCAGAAGAGTAGGTCAGACAGTTGCAACCCACTATTGCCGGCTTTGACGATGGAAGAAGGGACCAAAGTCAGGAATGTGGATAACCTTGAGAAGCTCAAAAAGTCAGGGAGCAGATTCACCCCTGCAGGCTCCAGAAAGGAATGCAGCCCTACAGACATCTTGACTTTAGTCTAGTGGGAACGGTTAGAAGACATCTGCAGAGTTGTGAGATGGCCATTGCTGTGACTTTGCACCACTAAGCTAGTGGTGATTTTTTATAGCACCAATGGCATGTTAATGGGCTTTGTAGGGGAAATCATGGAATGCTTTGGAATGCGGTGCCAACACTATCTGCCCTAAGTTCTGGAGGATAGGGCCCTTCATGGTGGTGCAAGGGGTTAAAGCACAGCACTGTGTAGCTATCACAGCCACTGCATCATGAGTTCGACCCCCAGCCAGGGAGGTAACCCACATGGCTCAGCACACCTCTCCTGTCTCACCCGCTGTCCCCGCCAGTGGTGTATTTCAGTAGCTCCACCTGTTTTACTCCCCAGCCTTTCTCTGTTGAATCTTCTAACCCTCCACATCTCTGGCTTGATCTAGAAGCTGCATACTTTGCTTTCCTTAATGGTGTTGTCGATTTCTCTTTCCACCATCTGAAATAGGCTTTGTGGCAGTTTCTTACAAAGTGAATATTTGTAAAGCAGAATCTCTTTTCCTATGATGACCAGCATATAATTTAATAGTCTTATAATAAAAGGTATTGTTTCTGGGCTCAGAATATCCCTCTGTCATTAAAATGAGCCGCTGCTGATGTTGCTGGTCCGGTGGCATCTGCTGAAGGCCTGGTGCTCACCATCCTCTTGGCTCACTTCTCCTTGGCAGCACCACTTGGGTTTCCGCCTCCTTGGCTAGCCTGGTCCTGTATGTTGGTTGGGTATAGAGGAGAGACTCCTCTGGTCCTTAGCTATTGGTGTCCTGTCCACTATTATGGACATTCTTAGTATTTAAGAGCTAATTGCCACATAGCCTGTTGTGTACATGTGAATCTTCTTATATGTGAGACTTTGACTTTACCAGATTTCATAATGGCTACATTTATGAGTGTTCTCAGCAAGAAGAGTTGTTCGTAGATGCTTAACTGTTTGTGTTGTTCCTTTTAATTTTTCGCTTTCTAGTGTCATTTTGGCACAATCTTCATCTTGGTTGGTAATAGTGGTTTCTTTGTACCTATTATTCATTCTTCCTGCCTTTTTCAATTGTTGATATTGGTTGGTTATTCTTAATATTTTTCTGTTGCTGTTTTGAAAATTGAAAGTGTGGGCTGGCTAAGGTGGGAGATAAAACCACCAATTACCCAAATTTCGCTGGGTAACTTCTGGAAAAAAGGGTTTTAGGAGATAATTATAAATGTCTATTATAAATAGATCACGAGTGTTATCTAAATGCTTATTATAATGTAATAATAAGGACTCAGAAATATAAAGACACAAAAGACAGCTTCTGCCTGAGGGGGGTTTAAAGAGTAGGAGAAATTCAGGGGTAAAGGTGGAAAAGAATATTCGTGGTGGTTATGGAGGAGTTTGAATTCCACAAAAAAATTTGATTTACTCTATAGGCAGTCAAGCACTTTTAGAGTAGGTGGACAGACAAGAAACCTTAGTGATAAGTTCACAACCCAAGAACTTTTCCAGGATGCACCTGATTAATTTCTGTGTAAAAAGAATTACTGACCTTATATGACTTGTAGCAAGAGAAGCTAATTGGACTGGCATGCTCTGTAGGAGGTAGTCCTTAACCCTTCAAGATAGGTACAATTGTAAATAGTGGGGGATATAGGGAGAACAATGAAGGGGGTGTAAAATTTTTAAGTAGACATGGTGCTAGCAATATTTTAGGGGCAAAGGAGCATACCACTTTAACTTGAGTAGGGTATTGGAGAAATTCAGGGATAAAGCTGGAAAAAAAATTAGTGGTAAATTATGGAGGACTTTGAATTCCACACACAACAAATTGATTTAATCTGTAGGCAGTCAAGCACTTTTAGAGGGTTTTAGTGAGATGAGGGTGATGACATCACAGAATTCCATGAATGGAATTGTAGTATGTAGCTTTTGGGTCTACTTTCATGTAGCAGAATACATTTGAGATATCATCTGTTGCGTGAATGAGTAATTTGTTTATTTTTATTGCCAAATGATATTCCATTATGTGCATGTACCACACTTTATTTGTATCTAGCTACTATACATTAAGCTGTTTTAGACATTTACCTATGGATTTTACATGGACTTAAGTCTTCAGTCTCTTGAGTAAGTATTTAGAATTATGATTACACAAATGTATATTAAATGCATGGTTACTTTCATAAAAAATGACCAAACTGTCTTGTACTCTTACTTACAATGTTTGAGCATTACAGTTACTCTACAGTCTTACCATCACTTGGTATGGTCATTTTTGGAGTGACTTCTAATTTGTATTGATATAGCAGTGTAGTTTGAGTTTATGTTTCTCTGATGATTAGATGACTGAGCATCTTTACATGTGCTTATTTGCCATATATTTTCTAAGATGTGTCTATTTAAATCTTTTACCCTTTGTTGAGAATGTGTTTATTAGTGTATAAAAATATTCGTCCAGCATAAATTTTAAAACAGAATGCAGGAAAATAGAAAAGGGAAAATAAACCACCTTAGTCGTGGTTTCTGATTTATAGTCCCACTATTTATCCTTTTACTGATAGACACAGGTAGAAAGACAGGTGGATGGATGATAAATTATAGGATGAGTGGATGGACACAAAAATATGTATAAATGAGATACTGTTCTACATACTGAATTTAAAAAAAATTGTGATAAGTTCATGTTTTATGAAGATTACTCTTTACGTGTATAACTTTGTGATTTTTAGTTTACTCACTATGCTGTGCAACACTTACCATATTCCTAGTTTCAGGACATTTCATCAACTCCTCAACGCTACCCTATATCTGTTCGTATCAGTCTCCGCCTTGTACCCCAGCCCTAGATCCTAAGCAACACCTAATCTACTTTCTCTATGGATTTACTTCTTTTGGATATTGCTTATGAAGGGAATCACATAATGTGTCCTTTTGTGACTGGCTTCTTTTACTTGGTGAAATATTTACAAGGTTCATCATGCTATAGCATGAATCAATTCTTCATTCCTTTTTAACAACTGAATAATAGTCCAAGTTTGGATATTCAGCATTTTGTTTATCAGATCTTCTCTCGACTGATGAACAGATGTGTTCATTCTACTTTCCTGGCTATTAGAAGTAATGCTTCCATAAACAAAGAAACATCTTTGTGTAATCCTATTTTTTTTTTAGTTCTCTAGGGTTTAAATATCCAGGAGTAAAATTGTTGACATCCGTGTTTAAAATAAGCTTATTATTATTATTATGGAATTTTGAGATACATCAAGTTTTAAAGGTGAAATTTATAGCCAGTGTATTTCCTAAATGATGCATCATCAGGAAAGTCTGTGTTTTAATTTTTATGTGATTTAATGAAGGATTTATAGAAATTTGATTGTACAGTGTTTTTCCACATATACTGTTAAATCAGCATAAAAACAAGTTTCAGTTTGCAGTTGCTTAAAAATATGTAAAGTAGATCCTTCAGATTAATTCTCATAATCCTTCCTCTCATTCAGTCCTTCCTTGTACAAATGTTTATTGACAATGTGTTTTGAGTGTGAATCATTACACTAATTTATTGAAGTAACATGTAGGGGATAACCTGTCATCATATACAAATGGTGAAATGGAAACATATACTTTAGGGTATGGATGCGATTATGCTCATGTCCATGTGTGTCTTCCTGTCCTTCTTATTACAATTCACATGGCTCCTCCATTAAGGATCATTCAAGAGACACCTATAAATAAGCCTTGAGCTGTGTGCTGGAGTCACAAAGGGTTCCTTTGGGGCTGGCTGCTAATTCTTTCAGCCGGGCGTGTGCGAGGTGGACGGTCACACTGGGAAGAATGTTCACGCCCGTCATTTTGTCCTTGCAGCATTGCTGACAGACAGAGTGCCCTGGAGGCTGAGCTGAGGACGGTGCAGTCCTCTCGCAGGGACCTGGAGAACTTCCTGAAGTGGATACAAGAAGCGGAAGCCACGGTTAACGTGCTCGCGGATGCCTCTCAGCGGGAGGATGCTCTCCAGGACTCCTCTTTGGCCAGGGAGCTCACCCAGCAGCTGCAGGCAAGTGCCCGGAATCACACTCTGTTTTGACATGTGTTGTGCTCTTTTGCTCCATCAACATGCAAATTTATTTCCCTTTAAAGGTGAGGTGGTCAGCTTATCTGTATCTGAAGTATCCATGGTCCTCTGTGAACAATTGGTTTCTGGAAATAAGATCTGTAACATACTTTTTACTTAGTAGAAGGAAAACACCTTGTTTTAAGGTAGTAACACTTGTTTGTTTAGACTTACAGCTCCTGGCTACTCTCTTTCTGTCATTTTAAACGCTGTTATAGAGGTATTTGCTCTTGATAGGAAGTTGTTTTGTTCTCTATTTATTAAAAATATTTAGTTTAAAAGCTTCAAATTTTCTATAGTTTACAACTAAGAGCATTAGTTTGAAGGTATAATTTTTATGTCTTCAGTGTGATAGCTGTGATTGCATATGCAATCCTAGTTCATTTTTCTTTTACACAAAATGTAATAACACAAAATTTTTCTTTAAAATATGTACGAGGTATTTTATGAAACATGTCTGCCTCTTCTTTTGGCCCCAAGAACAACTGTCTCAGGGATCTTGAACTTTCCGTGTGTGTGTGCGTGTGTGCTTATAGCCAATCTATCCTTGCTAGCCATGGGCCTGCTGACTTAGAATCTGGTTGAACACCTTTTTCATTGGAGAAATCTCCTTGTGTACCATAGTTTTCATTTTGAGTACTTCTTACCCCATGTCATTCTCACAAATTTGGGCAGTACTAATACACTCATGAGCTTGGGGTCCGCTGACATTTGATGTAAGTCTTGTCCTCTCTCAGGAGTTCATGTGGTTCTCTAAGCATTTTTAGTCCATAGCGTTGTCTACACAGTGGTCTGTGGGCACCTTCTAAGTAATTTCAAGTCTTCCGTCCCCTCTCACACCCCCCAAGCTTCTCTTCATTATGACGTTCAGCCTGATGACCTTTTTTGATCTTTGGAATTTTTTCCCCTTTCATTTATCCAAAGGATCATTTGTAATTATGTGGGTCTGGATAAAAGATTGAGAAACGTTTTTTAGAGGAATTATCTTATTTTTACAAATATTACTCTAAATTAAAAATTGTTTTTATTAAAAATTATGAAAAAAAAGTAAAGTTATTTATAACTTGTTCCCAGGCATGAAGGCTATTGGTTTTCTTCTAGTTAATTTCTTAAAATGTATTTAACAAAAAAATCTGTGTTTACTTGTATGACCTTTCTTTCTTTCTTTGCCTTGTGTGCAGTTGTGACTTGCTAGTGTGAGTAATCAGAGAAGTACTGACATTAAGTCGCCCTTTTGTCTCATCCTCTTGTGTCTCATGAAGCCACCAGAAATGTTAATTGATAAAATATTTAGCTTTCATCTCAATTTTTAAACTTAGGATGTGGGTAGATGCTAGGATATATTATTTTTTGAAACTTATCTAATTATAAGCTGACCTCAGTGCTCATGGATAATTAGTTCATGTAATGGTGATTGATAGATTTCACAGGTATCTGGACTGTGCATCTCAGTAGGTGACAGTTTGTGGACAGTGAGCAAAGGAGACTTAAGTGGACCTGAGGGTGGGTTACAGCACAGCACAGGCCTGTCTCTGCGATTAATCATGTCTTGCAATACATTTTATTTTGGATGTATCCTTACCATAGCCAAGTGCTTCTCAACAGTCAATGAAGTTTCAAACAGTGAAGAAATAAATATGAAGATGTTTAAAGTATTTCTAGATAAAGATAACAAGCAGATCACTTGTCTTACCTCCACCAGTACCGCAAAGTTTGCGGACTAAATTGCCACATGATAGCATGGAAAAGCTTCTCAAAAAAACAACTTAATGTTAAAATTGTGTTTTGGCTCATAAGAAATAGCTAAAAGGGCATTTATTAAGAGTCCACTGAAATATTTAAAGATAAACACATAACTTGCTTATGTTTAGAATGCTCCACATGATGATTAGCGTAGTTTGTTTACTCCCTTGTCCTTTAGTAAATGCTCTTTTAAGACTTTCACTCCATCGACTTTGACACCCTGCAGGTTGATGCCAGGTGGGAACCTAGTACCTTTTGCTGAGTATGTCTGAGCCAACCTCACTTTAATTTTCCTACAAGTTTTTGTGTTAACAACTCTCCTTATGTATGAATGAAGTTGTTTGGAAAGGATGAGATGTTTGTGGAAGAAAATGAATGTGCAGAACTATACTTTGGACAGTTTATGTGTGCACAGTAAATCATTGCACACGTGTGTGGGGATGAGGAAAATGAAGGGCTGTGTGCAGGGTGCAGTCACTATGTCCTTGTTTCATGTTTTATGTCAAGTGTATTTGGGTCATTGGAGACCTTTTGAATAGGATGTTAATTTTGTATTCAGTTTAAGGTTAATTTGGGGTAAATATGGTAAAGGATGATTTGGAAGCACATGGAAGGTGAAGGCGAAGATCAGTTTCCTGGAGCATACTATGATAACATGCCATTTTTGCAGAGGGTGAATTATCATTTGGATTCATCTATTTATGTCTCATTGTCCTGCTGCAAAGCAAGTTACATTTTGCTCCATATTGAGAGGAGTGATAAGTGGTCACCCAATCTTAGGACATATTTTATCTTTTAAACTGGTGGCAATGGGGAGAAATTTTTAAGTGATATAAAGCTAGAGTGAGGCAATGGAATTTGTGTTTGATAAGAAACTAGACAGCATTACCAGTCGGGGATATGAATGGGGTCAGAGTGACAGCAGAGCTTTTAGTCAGGAGACTCCTGTAACTACCTGGGCAGAGGTGAAAGTGATCAGACTTAAGGCAGGGGAGCTGACCTGGTGACCTGACCATCGGGCTACACTAAGACACAAAGATTGCCAAGTGGTAATTGCGAATGTAGAGAAGTGAGGGCAGCCGTGCAGGGTGGGAGGCGTGCGGATTATGTTGAAAAGAGAGATCTGAGTATTAGCATCCTGGCGAGAGAGACCTCGTGGGCAGCTGTTACTATGGAGCTACACATTCAGGTGAGAGAACTGGGCGAAGAAACTTTCTGCTACCATTTGAATGAAAGAATATTGCCGACTTCTGAATTGTTTTTTCTGTTAAATCCTTTATTCTAGAATACTATCATTTAAAGCCTATTTTAAAAAGATAAGCTATCATTGAGATGCTCTGATTCTTTCCTGGGCATAATCCAGCTGTCCAGCTGCTTTTGAATGGTGGTTTGTAGATGGCTATTTTTGCTTTCTAACAAGATGCTGCGTGGGGATTAGGATATTTTCATCTCCTGTGTTATCTTTCTGTCTGATTTCACCTTTTTATTTTTTTGCATAAATACAGGCTACAATTGTTTACCTTATTTCAGATCTTCCCCTTGTACCTAGCTCTATACCCACCTGGTGTTTAGGGGCAAATGCCTATGTCATGGAAGCTCTACCTGCTGGTCAGAGACAGGAACTATAACCCACACACGAAGTAGCAGCTTTACTCACATATAACTCACAGACCATATGCTCCATACATTTGAAGTGTACAATTCTAATGTTTTAGTATATTTAGTACATATCTTTAGTATATAGGTGTGGACCATGACTACAGTCAAATCAGGATGAATTTCATCACCTCTGAAAGAAACCCTGTGCCCTTAAGGCACCAACTCCCCAGGGCCGGTTCTCCACCCCCCACCCCTGTTCAGCTTCCCATTTCCTGTGTCTACGTGTTTGCCCACTAACATAAGGTTCTTCATATGGCTCAGTTACTACCTCTCCCTGTTTGCCATTCATCGATCTGTGGCTGTTGTTGTCCTAGCCAGAGGGAGGCAGTATAGCTTCTTATAAGAGAACTGCAAGGACAAAAAATACAAACAGAGCCCACAACAAACTGAGGTAAACACAACTCAGCAAGCCAGAATCTAGGACTTTAAATCTTGCTAAAATGAAGGACTGAGGAGGCAGATGAAGAAAGAAGAAACAAGTACACTAAAATACCTCATTTCAAAAAAAGGAGGATCCAGGTACTTGCAGAGAGGTGAAAATTCAGTGTCCCCTGTCTATTGGTTTGCACAGGATACGGATCATGAGGACGTCTGGGTTCTATTTCTGTCTGGGCCCTGTGACCCAGTCATTAAATCATTCTGGATCATTTTGCTCATTTCCTAATGGTACTTTGACCCCCAATTGATATTTATAATGATATTCAAGCTGCAGTGGAAATCGTATCTTGAATACGTGCCCATACATAGAAACCCCAAATTCCGTAGCTTTTTATATCATATAACTATGTCTTATGTTTCTTACTCATAAAATTAAAACAGCATTATGGCAAATAAAATGAGATCATGAAGACGCTGTCTAAGAGAAAATGTGGCGATTTGGAATGTTCTGCAGTCAATTACAGACCTTTTTTTCCTTTAATTTTTATTAACTTTGCTGTTTAATTAGAGGAGTCCCAACCTCACATTAGAAATTCGATTTCTAATGACTTTTCTTCCAGGTGGGCATCTGGGAGCCCTGGGAAGTCTGCTCCAGGGTATCTTAGGTGAACCCACACATCCCCTGCAGGTGTTTTGTTTTGTGTTGTGCTGTTTTGTTTTAGAAGATGTTGTTCCGAGAGCTGTCTGGAGGTGATTTATTAGCAGCTAATGTACGGGCTGATATCATCAGCGTCAGGGACCCTCTGCTCGGCTCGAGGTTTATCACAGGTTCTCTTCACTCAGCCCACAGAGCCCAGGCATTTTCGTCCGCTAGTGAACACCTCCCTCTTTAGAGCAAGAGAGTGAATGTCACTCATCTCTTAATAGAACCGGCTACGGCGTGATGTGTTGAATCCCTGTTCCCAGGGGATGTCTGCTTTGTATCTGCAGCTTTAATGTTTCATTTAATATCGTTTTTTTTTTGGCTACTGAGCGCACTCTCCAGCAGCAGACAGCAGGCAGCATTCGGCTGCTCAACAACTTGCTTCATTTTCTGACCATGCCAGGCTGAGCAAGTCCTGGCTGTGAGCATCTGCTGGGGGCTTACTGTGTGGCGTTTGTATGTTTCCTTTTTTTTAAAATGAGAAGAAGTTGAAGCAATACCAGCTTTCTTTCCCTAGCACCTAAGCCCCCTGTGTCTTTCAAATGCGTTCCTGGAAAGGAGCATGCTCAGAGATCTGGCAAATCATTGTCCAGTGACCGGGGAGGAAATGATCATTGCTCTTCATTTATAATGCAAATTCTGAGGTGTCTTCAGAAGTGTGGTAAACTTAAAATGATGGCTGTGGTGAGAACATCTCTGCAGAAAGTTGTGGTTTTGTTGCATCGTTTACAAAGGATGGCAGTTTCTTCTCCTCGCTATCAGAAGCTCTGTAAGGTAACTGAGTGATTGAAAATAAGGATCTTGGGTGTCTGACAATTCTGCTGTTCTCAGGTTCTGAAAACTAAATTTTCAGCATTCTTATCAAGCAAAGCTACCTTTTCTAAGTGACTGAAAGCTGCTGCAGGGAATTGCTTAATTCAGTTTTGCTTAAGAATCTGAAACAAGTACTGTGTGTTAGTGCATATTTTTGTTGGGCATTTGACAAAATTTTGTCTTCTGAGTAGGGCTAGGGAACTGAGAACATATACAAAACTACATTCATTAAGACCTGTTACCTCAGTAATACTTTCCACTCTGTTATTCTTGAAAGGACATTAATCTATGTAAATTGCTGTAAATTTTAAAAAGAATTTGAAATATCTTTCAGTAGATTACTTAGAAACTGCCCATTTCTTTATAGCTAATTAAAAAAATGAAAGCACATTTTAGAAATGGCTAGATTTAATCTCATCTCAAAATGTCCCTTGTTTCTTGCATGTCCGTATATATTATAGTTGAACCGGGACAACTTAATTTTCTTTGGGCAGGTGGATTAAGTCACTTTCTGGAGACAACTTGTTTGGCAGTTGTGTATTTCAAATACTACGTCATTCTGAACAAACGATTGCATGAGTTCCTGCATTTTCTTTCAGAAAGTTAGCTATTAGATATTTTGATTATAGCTTTGTTTCATTTAAACTATGTTTGACTCATTACTTTGGACAAAAAGGAAAGAATCACAACAGGAATGCTGAAGCAATTTCTCCAGCTCCCAGTTCTGTATTCTTGCTTCTATCATTATTCTTAGTGCTCTTGCCAAGGGTGTATATTATTGTCCTGTTAGCTGTACAGACTCATCTGTAATTGGAGCCACTGTTTTTAAGGCAGTATTATTTTCCCAGTGATATAAAATATGACCTGTTCAAACACCTACACTCTGTATTTGATGGCAACAGATTATGGGGAGAGAAGAAGCAGTATTCTATTAACTTTCTCAGCTTATTTTTATTTCTTACAATTTAGTCAATTCAATGTGTTTATGCCTGGGAATTATTTTTTAAAAAGTTTCAGTTGAAGAATGAAGATAATGGGGCATTCTTTGCAGAAATACTGGAAATCCTAATTTCATAAAAATTGAAACTTAATACAACTTTACAATTAAGTCAGATATAAAATAGGTAAATTATTTCAGTGTGTTGCATGTTGGCCTGCTTCAGAGAATAAATTTACTCTAGTAAAATATTTATCCATTTCATGGACAGGCAGTTCTGATAATAGGTAAGAAAAAGTCATTCATTCATGCATTTTTTTTCTTTGTACATACAAGTATGAATTTACAAAGCTTGTTTTTTTTTTTTAACTTAAGCTGGGTCATTTTTCTGTTCCATCTGAATGTATACTTTCACAGAGGCAGGTATTTTTCTCAAGTCATGCAAACAAAATACTAAGTAAACATACGAAGCAGTAGAACTTCAAGTCCTGGAGAAAGTTGCTTAATTAGTTTCATAACTATATGCGAAGGAAGCTCTAGTTCAGGTACTAACATCATTATTGTGTTAATATTCACAAGAATATTGTTGGGATAGACCTCACAAGATTTATAATTTCCTAAAGAAACTTTTAAAATTGAAATGGTTAGCATCAATGGTACTTTGGATTTTAGAAAATTAAAAATTGTGTTATTTGTAGTTTTATTATACTTTTCTCAGATGTAGAATTAGCAACTGCCCAGAGATAAAATGAAAAAAATATTCAATTCCAGTATTTTCCAGTAGGTGTCAATATAAGTCAATGATATATAAGATTATATCCAAAGAACTGGATCTCCAGAATAGGAAGTGACAAAATCACTATGAATAAATCAAGTCAGAACAGATAGAATTTATTTGCTTGGCTACATTAGGAAAACTGATTATTTATTGAACCACATTAATACATAATATATAATTAAAAGTTTATTTGAAGAATTTTTGATAAAATATTTTCATCTCAAACACTAAGTTGGGTATGTGTATCTACTGAAAATAATTATTTTTAACTGTCAGTGATGTATGTGAAGTAATTAATGGTTTAGATGTTTTGTATTTACTTGCTTGAAGATATATAAATTCTCTTTTCCTTAAATTATAAATGCTATAATGACTATCTCGCTATACCTCCTACATTCTCTAAATTTAGTTTCTTAGAAAGGAAATGCTGTAAGTTTCAGTATTCATGAAAATATAGAGACAGTTGATTGTAAAAGCATTTACAGACTAACATGGATGAGAAAAAATGTTGATTATCTAAGGGAGACGTGACTATTTTAAGTTTATGTTGGCATGTTGAAGTCAGTGTCTATTAATCTGTGTGTCCCCTTCTTATTCTCTTTAGCATCTCTGTATTTGTCACATGGAAATTTAGCTTTCTATCTGCCTTTTTCCTCAATGGCATACCTGATCTTTTTTGCTTATTTTCACGCTTCTCTAGAGTGTCAAAAATATTTCATGTGTTACTCAGTTCAACTATTGTGTTGAATATTCTCAGTTAGTGGCTTTCCTGGTAGGTCTTGAAGAGGGAAGGAGGGCTGAAGAGACATTGGCAACTCTCAGTTCTGAGTAAAATATGCATTCCTCTTTTAACCCCCATATTATTTTTTATTTTCCTGCCTTTAAAAATATTTCATTTTGGTTTTATATATTCCATAAAATTTGGGCAGGAAACTAAAACAAGTGCTGCTAACCTAAAACAAGTGCAGCTTACGTGGAGATATAATTAGCAACATTGAAAGTGCCCCAATCCCCTAAAATCACCTTATGCTAGAAGCTCATTTTCCCTGATTTGGTTTTGATTGCTTTAAGATATTAACGATTATAAAATCAATTTTCTTCCATGAGAGCATAGGAAATGCAAACTGAATGAAACTTTAATGTTTCACTATTTTGTAATGATTTGGGGATACTTTATCACTAAATCTTTTGAATTATAATTTGAGATATTGTTGTCAGAAAGTAGTTTTGTAAGTCATGCTTACAAAATCAGTGCCCATTCTCATAAAATATTTATTGACGGCATGGTAAAAGCAACTTTTTGTAAAGTTTGCTGTGATGTGAGCTAGTACTGATAAAAGCTAAAAATATAAAATTGCTGCTATAAATTAAATTTCCCATGCCTTAAAAGTTAAAAATTATATTTACCTCCTTATACATTTGTATTTGTTTAAATCACTTTAGCTCACATGAGATTAATCATCTCAAAATTTTTAGCCCATTGCAGTAAAAATTGCCATGATAAAACCACATATTAGGCCCTCCCTAGTGGTGCAGCGGGTTAAAGCACAGCACTAAGAAGCTAAAGCCACTTCTGCATGAGTTCAATTCCCGCCTGCCCCGGTGTACTTTATCAGTCTGCCTGTTATGCTCCCCACTCTGTCTCTGGTGAAACCTCTCGCCGCTCCTGAGCCTGTACCCCAGTTCTGTATGCACAAATAAATAAATGTTTAAAAATAAAACCACATATGAAGTCTTACTAGAGTGTACTTTTGTTCCTGCTTTCTAGAATTCTCTTCCAGTTGCCACTGATTATCTTTCTCACTGTGTATAGTGTGCACACACCGTTCTGGTTACCACTCATTCATATATGCAGTGAACCTGAGGCTAACCATACAAGCAGTCTTCTAGATCTTTAGACCTTTACAATGATGCTGATCTCAAAGTCAACCTTGGAAAAATCATGTCCTCTGAGGCAGGAGAGTAGCTACCTCTGTGTACTCTGAGAAAATAGACTCCATCTCATTCGTCATCTGGCTTGACCAGTGGAGGCTGCAGAAGGATTGCTCTGTGTGTGTGTGTTTGTGTGTATGTGCACACGTGTGTTTGTGTGTGTGTGTGTGTTTAAAGTAGACAGCTGAGAGCTGCATCTTGGTGTATGCTGCATGGATAAAAGCATTTGGTCCCTGAGCAGATTTTCAGATTTACTGCTGAAGTAAGTTCACATACCACTTCTCATGTACTTGTGTATGTCTTCTCTACTTGGAGGGTGAATATATACTTTTAAGAGAAGACACGGAATAGAATTGTGTGTATTTGAATGACTCATACCCCAGATAGCTATATTTTATATTCTATATTCCTAAATACTCCCCCCACTTGTTTTCTAGTGGAAAACTGCTATTTTGGAATAATCAGATTCTCAAGTGTTCTAGGGTGACGGAGTTTTGCTTTGTCATCATCCGAGGGAGACACATATTTGAAGGTTGCCTTCCAGTGACCCGCAGTTTCTCCCAAGGATCAAGTGACACACTTATTGTTGAGCCACAGGATAGGACAGTCATCATCTCTGACCTGGAGATGGGGCTCCAGTTATCACAAGAAATGATCTCTTGCTGTCTTTTTGAGAAATTATTGGTTTGATTACTTCAGAAAATTTGTGAAAGCTGAGGTTTAGGAGAAAAATACCAAATGTGGAGACATTTGCCTACAACCAGCCCATGACCATTCATGCCTTGGCGCGTGCTGCCTCATGGACACATCCGCTGATGACTTCCTTTCTCTCTCCATCTGCTCTCCCTCAGCAGGGACTACAAATAAAAGTGAGTTGAGTCCTGAGGAAAAACATCTTCCCTTAACTAGTACTAGGTATCTTCTTGTAGCGTCCAAAAGCAGCCGCACTATTTCAAATGACTTGATGATCTCTGTTTTGTTATGACTCCCCAAGTATACATCAAAATTATTTTATAAAATAGGACCCTCCCCGGTGGCACAGCCACGCCATGGCCGCTTCCATGTGAGTTTGAACTCCACCCCGGAGATTATCCACTTGGCCCAGCAGATCTCGCTTGTCTCACGCCAACCGCTGCTCCCCTCAGCAGTGTACTTTGTCTATCTGCCCGCCATGCTCCCCACTGTCTCTGGTGAATCTTCTCACCGCCACTTGTACCTCTAGTCTGTGCTCCATTTCTTTATGTGTAAATAAATAACATCTAAACAAATTATTTTATAAAATAACCTAAGTAACATTTTTAAATCAGAAAACTT